TACAGGTGTGATTGGTCTTAAACAAACGTAACAACAGAGCGACAAAGTCCTTGGGTCATTTCCCTTTTTTCTCTGGCTCCTCCACCTTCTCCATTCCTTTTGGTCCCCTCACTGGGAACTGTCCCTTGGGAGAGGCGATGGCAAATGTGGGCTCTGCTCCTCTTGGTGGGTTTATCGTCATCTTCCATGAGCTCCCACCTCAATGCAGGTGACATCCAAAGCCAGAGGTCCAGCCGCTTCTCGTTCTTTCTTAGGAAGATCTCAAATCTCAACTCGCAGCTTGGAATTCCTGCTCATGTTTCTAACCCTTTCCACACGCTGCCAGAGAAATAGAGTCCCCGTCACCAGAGAGGACTGTCTTCATTGTAACCCACCCAGGATGCACATACGGAGCCCAGGATCGTGCAGATAGCCCTTTGCCGTTTTCTCTGGCTGCTGTTCCATTGGCATCCAGATGCCCCTGTGTTAGCCTGGGGAACATTCCTTTCCCTTAGGACCCCTTCCTTCGGCGCCCCCCCGTCCAGGCCCCGCGAGCCCGCGCGACAGGGCCGAGGGGCGCCAAGGAGGGAGGGCTGCGAGCGCGCGGGGCGCCCACCGCTCAACGGCCGCCTTCGTGGCCCCGGCCCGGCGTCCTCACCCTGCGGCCGGTGGCGGCGGCCCCGGAGCCGAGGAGCGAGGGAGGCTCGCGCTCCTCGGGGATGGAGGGGTCGGGTCCCTGGCTGTTGGGCAGGCGAGGGAGGGGGGGCGGCGGACAGGGGGCGCGCGGTGAGGGGCTGCGGGTAGAGCTGCACTTACTCGTCTCTGCGCTCCTACCCCGCCGGGAGCGTCACACTGTGGGGACCGACTCGGTCTCCAACTTCCCTTTCCTCAGGACGTGGATATTCAGGAGCCCCAGCATCCCGGCGGCGCAGCCCTCTCACCTGCCTCTGCTCACGCCTGCGCACTCGCTCTTCGGGAGGGAGTGGGTGGGGTGGGGTGGGGCGGGGCGCCTCCCGGCCTCAGGACCCCCGGTCTGCATACCCATGTTTATTTTTAATTTCCTGAAAGTGTTTTACTTGAAATCAATTTAAAAAAATAAACGACACGTTTTCTTGTCCAAATCATAATTTACTGACTACAGAGTCTGCCTTTGTAAGATTTCTTTAGGGGATCTTAACTGGCTCTCGGTCAAATGACCTGAGTCAAATAACGGGTATCAAAAAAATTTTAAATCATATTTTCCTTCCATCAGTTTTTAATCACTAATAAGTTTTACCATGTGGGGTTTTATTGGGTGGGGGATTATATTTACTAATAATCAGAACGATGGTCCATGGGTTCCTAGTGTCAAAATGGCCGTCTGATGGTTCTACTTCCGTGATCAAAGAGATTTTTTTTTGACAGATACTGAATTTTGATCCAGCTTTTTGAACATGCTGCTTCCCCCAAAGACACCACCCTCCATGTCTCTCCACCTCATTAGAGAACAGAAGAGGAATTTCTCTGAGCTGCTTTCAAGGTGCAGGCAAATGAAAGCTACCAAAAGTTTCCAGTCACCAGCAG